ATACTCTTAACTCATCATTCTGTTACCAGACCTTAAGAATAGGTCTGGTTGTTAATTGAAGATTAATGCCTGTTGTTTAATTGAAGATCAGCTATCAGTAGAAACAGCGTGACACAGATCTTTGTCTCAGGTGAAATGCCTAATCTAGATGTGTCATGGAGAAATATTTGACTGACAAGTTGGCAAAACTCTGTCCCAGACAGTTACCATCATAGGGAACACTGGGGAGGAGAGCTGGGAATGTATGCTGTCAACACCCATTCTTCAATTGTAAAAAAAGAGTTTTTGTCAAACTCAGACATGTCTCCACAAAAATCCAGCAGTAGATGTAACTATTGACCATGTTCATTTAGCATTTGCTAGTAAGTCTATTTGGACTCAGGGACACAGTTTGTTTCAGCAAAGCACATTAAGGACTGTGAGGGTATCATTCTCTCTGCCAGTGGGAGACAGATGAGTCCGCAGGAAACGCAAGAGTCCACCTCAGTTCTATTCCAAATTTGCTTATTCAGGACTATGACAAATGTGCTCTTTCCCAGCAGCTTCCAGAAAATCTTGAGTTTACAACCAACTCCTGTGGAAACAGAAGCCAACCCTAAAGGACAAAACTGACATTTTTTCCAGATGCAGGCTAGGAACAGACAGTTTTCTCTGTCTCACTTTTAAGCAGCTATGGGATAAGAGTGCTGTGAAGGTGATAACTACACAAACCAATCATAATTTCAGTTCTTAGTAAGGAACATCTTTGTGACTTTTTGTTGTTTTTTGTTTTTTTTTTTCATGTGCCAACTTCTTCCATCATCTAAGTACTGCTTTCACCTCTTCCTCAGATCATCTGCCAGACTGCTGATTTTTTTTCGTACAAATACTTCTTACAAAACTGCTTATTTTATGAAGCTCAAGAAGGAGTTAACAATGAATCATTCCTTTTTAAATGCAGCTAGGCATGCACAGTCTTTTTCTTTCACGATATGAACTTTTCCTGAGTGGCCAAATCATCTTCTGTCTATCACGCTGTGTACCATCATTCCATTACTGTCTGAAACTAGAGTTCAGATATAATTCAATACATACCATCTACCAGAAATTAGTGGAAAACAAAAAAATATTCAGGACTGTAGAATTAGTAATAACTACTTCAGTTAGCAAAATGGTTTTTAGTATGCTGTCAATACTGTTATTTATGTTTACACAGATCTTAAACATTTTGGATAAAGTTAAGGAATATTTTTAAATAATGTAAACCTTTTGAAATGCTTCAGAAACATTGATTGCAGGGTTACTTTGCTGGTTTTTCACTCTACTAATCAAGGGACAGCAGCAAGAGGTGAAGTGTCCAGTTACTCTTTCTACCAAAGGGGCACCCAGACACCTCTGCTCTATTACTTCTGTCTGCTAAAGCTTTCAAGATACTCATATCTCTAGACACTCACACTGAACGGTTCAAATTATCTGAATATCTAAAATGTTTCACAACATCTGGAACAAGACTTCCAGATAAAAAGTATCTTTCCTTACTTTTGAAGAAATGTCCCTTTTGAAGAAATAATCTAACACTACAGAGAGTAAGGAGGAGTGTAACTATTCCCATCAAAGGTCAGGACTGTTCTCCATGACTTGAAACACTCGTGCCTTCTGGAGTCATCATTAATCATTAGTGACAGAAGCCAGAAAGACTTGATTTCACTTCTATCTAACCCGCAAAAGAAACCCTTTCTATTCAGATATGGACCTAACCAAACTGATCGATGCTTCTGTAATCCCATGCTTGGATCAATCCAATTTGCTCTTCCTTGGTCTGACCCAGATGCCACTCCATAACCTACAGATGGTTCATCGTACTGTAGCCCATCTGTTAAATAGAACACAGTAATGAGAATACATCACACCAATATTCCTCACTTCCCTTTGGTTTTCATTCTAATCCTGAACACAGCTGAAGGTCCTGGTCCTTTCAGTGGTCCATGACTAAATCACCCAAGAGAAGACCTCTTTCTCCTTCTTGCAGAAGATGGATACTACAGAGATGCTATGTCCAAAAGCATCAGATTCCAGCCTGAATATACGGGACAGGGATCTGCCTTCAGCACTCACTTCTACCACATATTGTGCTTTGGTTTTTTTATGTTGCAATAAAAGATTCACCTCTTCCTGTGAGTAGTTTAGCTATCAGGGAAATCACCACAGCACTAAATTCCTAAATGAAAAATCATACCAAGTTGTTCATAACTAAATAATTAAGATGGGAAAGAGAAACGGTTCTGTTTTGAAGGACCTAATAATTTTAGCATCTTAGGCTTCAACACTGCAGGGTATACGCTAGATATAGTAAAAAAATACTTATAAATGTGAACTAATAACACAGCAGCATTAATTATTTTAATGCATAATGAAAATAATTTATATGATATTGAAATTTGTGATTCCTTAAAGCATATAATTACATGAAATCAGTGCAAGTTTAACATATGTAGGCATTGTGTACCTTGAAGAAAAGTACTATCCTCTGAAAACTCATTGCACTGCAAGGGAAGTTTTAGCTGTTTTACTAAACAGAAAAAAGATTAAAACCCAACTTGGCCCTTAAGGTGATACTCTTCTGAAAAAATCTTTATGCAGAAAGGTGGTTCTATTTCTCATGAAAAGATAGATAATAACAAAACCATGAACCATATTTCTCAGTGAAACCTTGGCTTTCTTGAAATCAATGAATTTTTTTAGCATTGAATTCCATTAAACAAAAATACAACCCCTGAAATTTAGATGAGAGAAATTTTTAATTCATTAGAGCACCTAATTAGTAATCGCAACTCTTTGTTTTGCTTTTCATTTATTTAATTCTCTACTTTTGTGAAGCACAACTTGCAGAATAAGAAAAGGCTAACAAATGCTCTAGAACCAATCAATGTTACGAAACTAATAATAATACAATATGAGCATGTAAGCTTATGTAGTCCCTTTCATGTAGAAGTATCCCAAGGCACTTTGTAACAGAAACTCAATAAGGAGTGCAAAAGTGCTTTGTCAGATAGGATAAGCCAGGGGAAAAGGGGAAATTAATTAAGCATGGATTTAAATTTCTCAGCCAACACAGCATTTAGAACCTTGGTCAGAAAAGACAGTGGTTCCCATATCTGTATCCAGGGAACACAACAGACTATTTCAGTCTTTAATTCTTGATAAATGTTCAATAGTTTTTCCACAACAATGTGGGTATGAGTAATAGGAATGCAGTTTGTAGGCAACGTTTCCAGAAGGCAGCCCCTCCCTCTCTTCCTCTAGTTTTTAATAAAGAAATAGATTCATAAAAGTTGATCATCTGACTTGTATGCCAGTAAAACCACTTGATTCTGGAGATACCCAATATGAAATTTGGTACAATAGAAATTACAAATAGAAAGTTAAGCATTGGGCAATGGCTTTGTTGGACATTTAGTTCACCATTTTAAACTAAAATATGTTTTTTTATGGAGGTAGTCCACACCTCTGACAGAGAGAGTGATCTCTTACACAGTAGTTCCTATGATAGCTTGCATTTCACAGGGAAAAACAAAATTACTTGGGAAAAACTACAGTAATTGATAATGCATAAATTACAGCTTCCCTGATGTTGCAGAAACTTGCACATCCTCTATTTTTCAAACATTTTTCTCTTAGGAACACATGGACCATCCTCATTTTTGGATGACTGCCTCTTCGGATTAATGCATCCTTCTGGTGCATAAATTAGGGATGCACAGAGGAAAAAGGAGAAGCACTAAATCTCAGGAAACTGAAGCCATACAGAAAAATAAGGTTCACAGTAGAGCTGAATGAGTGACTCACTACAAATAATTTATCCAAAAAGTTAGCCTCCGCTCCTGTTCATGGAATAGCAGTTTATAATTTCCTCAGTTATATTATAAAACAAAACCTTAAAATAGTGTATGTCTTCACTGCAAATAACTTCCCACCAATATTTCATGTCCTATCTTAAGAAACAGTGGCATTTTGATTGATCAAATAAATCACATGATGATGTTTCTGTTTCCTAGATGGATGAACCAACAAACACATACTTCAGATGCCTGCTGTGGTTAAGCAAGCAGCTCAGTAGCATAGTGGGTGTAGGCAAAATAAATGAATTTAAGAAAAACTCCTGAGGGTTTTTGCAAAATATTGTCAGTGTTTATATTGCAGCTGTGGTCCATTGTAATTTTCATTAATATCACTCGGAATTTACAGCTCCCTGTAAATATTTTCTTTGGGGGCATGAAGAGTGAACTTGTTCCAGAGAAAAATTGAATTTGATGGTATAAAGATTTGGTAATGAATAATATATCAGTCTTTCCATGGATTGTTCTAAACTCTTGGACCAATTATTAGGAGTTGATGCACATGTTATTAAGATTAAAGTAGTAATGTTAAAATTTTACTTGATTATTGGTGATCTGAAATATCCTTGCAGAATTTATGGTTTTGAATGGATTGCCGTGCTTTATGCAAATTTGAAAAGTACTCTCTGCTACTTCAATAAAATATGGAACTTCAGCAAGTACTTGAGGTAGAATGAGCCATTAGTGCATTTAGAATTGACAGTAGTATACAGAGACTATCAGTTTTATAGAAGCCACCTAACAAAACCTTCTGAAGGTTAATATCTTAGAATGTCAATTGTTAAAGTACTATAATATTTATTACAGAAAAAAGAAGACTGAAGACTGATCAGAAAAAATACTCTTTTGTTATGTGTCCTGACACAGGCTGAAGAAAAAGACAGCATACCAGAATCCTGCACACTTTGCATTAATTTTGGTCATGCTTGCATAATTAATGCTAACATTTTGCTTTTATTTTTGTATATTTAAAAATTGAATCTACATCAAGTACCATTTTTCAGATCTATGCTAAATGTCTACATAATGCAATTGCTGGATTCTCTATTTTACAGCAATACCCTTGGTATGAATTTATCAATATAATAAGAAAATAAAAGTGAAAAAATGAACATGAGTTCTTACCTGAGCTCTTGAGCTATAGAGTCCACTTGAACTGTTAATAAAAGCAGGAAAGAATGAATTAGTTTACACTTCCAGACTTGTTCTTTCTGCAACCTTGCACCTGCCTGCCTGTGATGACAGAGGAGCTGCTATCAAAACACAGGTGATTATTTCATGCTAACCACAGGACTGTAGCTACTAGTGGCAAGCATTAACCGAACACATAATTCTCACAGTTATTTTAGGATGTATAAAACCTTGAGTATGATGTTCAGTGGAACAATAAGAAAAATAAAAAGAAAAAATAAAAGAGAAGGCACTTGTTTTTACTGAAAATAGAATGACAAATCTCTGCTTTTCCTGAATTTTAATTCAATTTGGGAATGACGAAGGCTGGTGTTTACAAATATCTACCCATACAAAGACATAAAGCACATTGACAAAGCCAACAGGTGGTTTTAAGGATTACTCATATTGCACAGGCAACTTTTGTTGTTCCCACTTCTGGGAAAATGTTCCTGATATATTAATTCCTACAGATGTGTGTACATGTGTATAAAAAATACAGAGAAAGAAAATCCATACTTTTAAAAATATGTTATTAGCTTTTTGAGTGAAAAGGGTATGAATCCTCTATTAAATACAACTGAAGTCTGCTAAACCAGCCAGACTGTTTTCACTCACAGCCCTGACCACAGAGAAGACACACTCTAATGCTGAAGGGTGAATATCTTCCCTATTCAATAACTTTCAAGTTCAAGTCCTCTGTTCTCATGCTTTTAGAAATATATATGAATTTTAACGTTAACTTCAGAGAACATTACTCTCTGAATGTTCAGGGATGCATCAAAGTTTTAATATGACAACAGTCATGTTTTTTCAGAAAGGCTTGTCTGCATTTATCCCCTTGTCTGTGGACAGTTTGTGGCACTCTCACACTCTTCCTCTGTCCTTTCCTAAGTGAAGTCTAGCACTTTTCACCCTTTTGGTCGATTGAAACAACAGAACTTAGCCAAACCACACTTTAATTTTTCATTCTGACCTCAACTTGAAGCTAAAGGCATGATATTAACAATACAGAACTATGGAGTTGTGACAATGAAATAGTCTGCTTTACACAATCTTGAGAGTGCATGATTCACAGTAAAATCAGAGTGAATGATGGGTGCTTTGCACCTCTGAAAATAGTCATAAGGAAAAATGTTCACAGGGCAGGCAAAACTTTGACATTTATTTTTAAGTATCTCTATTTTTCACTCATTATCAAGAGTCACAAAAAGTGCTATGAATTAAAATAAAAAGTTATTTTCCTGGAAGAGCTGTATTGCTAGTCAATCATGCTTTCCAGATGTTGAGATCATTAAGGGCCTGTTTATCTCTCAGTACTGCATTTCCATCTGTTCCTTACAAAAAGAGAGGAATAGCTGGGAAATACAACTATGTCATAACTTTGCAAAATGAAACATGAGCACCAGCACTTAAAAAAAGTACAGGGTTCTCCCCTGGCCCATATACCTGTACTTTTTGATTAAAGTAAATTTACTTCTGGACCATTTACGCAGCTAATTTACAGATAATTAATGGCAATAGACAGAAAAACATTCAGTTGGCTAAGATAAAGTTTTGTACACTATTTTGAAAGCATCCATTGAATACTGTCTACCTCTACTACCTATGGAAAAACTTTGTTTGCATAATAAAAAACATAACCTTTATTTTCTTTGAGAAACAGCTCAAAAAAAATAACATACAGTTGATTTTTTCTGCTTTTCTTTAAACCATAGCTAATAACACCGTGCCTCCGAATGCCAGAAGTCTGTGTCCTGCCTTGATTAAAAAAGCAGCCCTAAGGAAGCTACACACTCTCTTACTGCACATTAGGGACTGTGCACAGGAACTATCATATTTCATGGTGTGCTGGGCACAGGGTCGTGGAACGCGCTTGCTAACTCACCCTTGATTCCTTTTGAGCGTGTGCGCAGCTTTTTATTTTCCCCATCTGCATCCATCTGTAATATTAACACAAAGTCTTTAATTCACTCCTTTTGCCATTGAGAAAAAAAAGTCTCGAACGCTTTTTTTTTTCCTCCACATTTCCAAAGGCTAGACAGTAATAGAAAGAAGAATAATCATGCCTTATTAATCTTGTCAAAGAGATAAAAAGCCATCTGTGAATATCTAGTAAATACCTAGGAGATACCTTTAATGATACAGATTTGTTTAATAAAGTGATGGTTATGAGTGACTCTGTAAGGTTTAATGACAAAGTCCACAGGTGTTAGCTGAAGGCATAAGGTTAGGAACAGCAGTGCTCTATGACTGCTGCTTTCAGCATCCACCTCCTGGAAGAAAAGGTCCCAGAAAGGCACAGTGCCTACAGGCACTCTGCATTATTATTGTAACCGAAGCGTACCATAATAGCTGTGTTGGAACCTGCATTTCTGATAACTTCATCCTTAAAAAGTGAAACTCTCTTGCCTGAATGGGCACACTTGCACACGTACAGCTTTGAAATACTTCAGCATTTAATCAAGGGGTGAAAGAGAAAGTTATAGATTTGTATGACCTTTTGGGAGAATGTAGTATCCAGGTTTGTACTTCACATTAAATAAATCCACCCAACCAAAAAATCCAAACCCCCAAGAGGTCAGCTGCTGCTGTAAGATTTGTAACTGAAATACGAGAGGGCTTTCAAGATCAGCCGTTCTCATGAAACTTTTGGCTACATCTAAACCAGCACTGGAAATATGCACCTTCTGGTCTTGGATGTGGCCCAGACCCGTAATTGTAGGGGCAGGTTTTCAACCCAATGATTCTATTACAAACCCCTGAAATTCAAATGGATTAAGATTTTATGTTCTGTTGTGAAGAGCTGCAGTGACGTACAGCATACTACACAGCAGTGCAATTTTGTCAATGTTCAGGGAGACAAACTCCTCTTCTTTCTAAAAGTAACTCTTAATTTTTATGTAAGGAAGACTCTTTCATGAGGAATTTTCGTCTAGGCAAAATATCAGGAACTCTGGAATTCTTCTTCAGTCTATAGTAGCATCTTACTATTTATCTTTGCTTTGAATCTCAGTTTCCATTTGTAAAACGGTGATGATGAAAGATGCTGTAGATGAAGCAACTCCCATGTGTTTCTGCACATCAATATGCAAGAATAAATGCAGACAGCAGCATGTGATTTGTATAACTGTGTTTCTCAATAGGTAGATGCTTTCTGTTGGTACCAGAAGTTGCCTATACCTGGCATCTTTCCCTGCAAAAGGTTGCAAGATTAAAAACAATGTCAACAGAAGATCCTGTCTATTATTTCACTCTGCCTTTCTGAGGATCAGCAGAACTCATTTGCCCCACTGAGAAAAGATGCAAGAAGCTCTGTTTTGCCTTCTTCCATTTATAGAGTTTGAATATCGGAAGATGCTTTATTTTTAGCTTTATATGACTCAGATAACTGAGATGTTTTGAAGGTCTTATCTGAAAGAACATTGTAGAATATGACAAAATTGACCTGAGAAAGAAAAAGAGTAAAGTCAGCCTTTCTAGGGGAGAATAAGCACTTCTCTAATTTCCTGTTTTGTTTAGTTTTTTGTGTTTTTTTTTTTCTGTTTGTTGTTATATATGGTTACATATTGTATACAGCTCCTGTAATCAAAAAATCTATTTGCAGGAGAGAATGCAAGCATTTGAAAAGGGTATTTGTGTACTTGAAGAAGTCTAATTCTAGAACATGGGTTAGTGATATCTGAAATGAAGGTATAAATTGATAGAAATGCATCTCAAAGACAGACAATGATACCTTTTCTCTGTTTAAATTTACATCTGATGTTGATTATTATCAGGGAAGGAACATAAGTGGCTCGTGTTTACGTAGTGGGGCTGATGGCAACCTTTACTTGTTACTATCCTTAAAACCTGGAGAACGAGTTTTTGCAATGTGACTGCAATGGTAATGGGAAACATGGCTCTGTTCTCTGATGCTGAGTTGTGATTGAAGGCACTGACCTGCCATAGACTTATAATAGGGGAGCAGGTGTGGCAATGATGGACTTTAATTTCCTTTAATAAACCTTTTATGTGCCACACTTTTACTGCCATTCTATGCTCTCCAAGGTCCTGCACATAATAGGTTCATTACTTTTGATTACTATAGTCTATTGAGACAAACAACTCCAGAACACACTATATATTATGTTCAGTTAAACCAATATAGACTATTTATCCACTGTGCATTATTTCACCTGCAACTCTACAGACAAAATTAACAACAGCTCCTGTAAGCTAAAACTATTAAAACCACTGGTACTCCTTTGTCATCATTTCATAATAAATACCACACCAATCACAGTGCTGCTCTTTTAATTATGAAACAAAAAGTGTCCACTGCTTCTACTGAACAGCAGTTACTTTGGTCTAAATAGCACGTTGCGTTGTGATGAATATTTAAAAACTGCACAATGAGGGAAAACCAACAATAAAATCAATGCAGGTGATTTTTCTATTGATTTTCTTTCCTTGTAATAATTTGAAACTATGAGAGATGGTTAATCAACTTAAACCTAAAATTTATAGGACTATAATGTGTGGTGCATAGCACATATTAAAATAATCATCATGTCTGTGTTGCATAAAGAACACCGTAACTTACATTAAGTCCCGTGCATTAAGTTGAAAGTCATAAAAAAGTAACTGAATAAAGCTTTGAAAACATTTAAGTGTGTCAGCAAGAAGATCTCTCTTGCTAAAAATTTAAATGTAAAATCTTCAGATTTTGATAGTTCTTTCAGAGACTGCCTGATACTGAAAAAAGTGGAAAAAGTTCCTCACTTCTGATTTTTTTTTTGCATAGAGATTCATATATACATGAAATTACAGCCATGGATGGTCAGCAAGAAGTATTCAAACTTTTAAATCACTCATGAAACAACAAAAAAATTAAACTCTAAGTGGGAAATTCCATCCAAAGCTTTTAGAGGTAATTGTTATCAAGGTGTTAATTTGAGAAACATATCTTATTACTGCTATGTACAGTAAAGATTGGATGGATTCTGGAAGGTGCTTCGTGCTCTCAAAGCTGGGGATGGTCAGCCCTCCCTCCAGTCCATGTGTTGTTTCGAGACAAGAAGCCATAAGGGATAAATAGAATGGTCAAGTCTGCCCAAAACTCTCATGCGATGTTTTACTACTAATTTTTTTAGTCGTCAGGACCATCAGGTTAACATCTAAGTGCTTGAGAGGAAAATTTTATTCGGAGTTGCAATCCATATTTTTTAAGGGCACGCTTCACAAAAATAATAAGTGAATAGTGAAATAAATTCCAGTTTATCTTTATATATTACACCTAGATTCTCTGATTTGATGGTTTTAAACCCATTTAAACATTTTCTTTTCAAAATTTGTTGACACTTACTAATGGACTCAAAAGGAATTAGTGGGAGATATGTGGTCAGAAACTCAGAGACAAAGGGGTAGCAGCTATGCAGTCCCAAATCATTAAGCAAGCAGGCTAAGAAAGAAATGCTTGCCTTTTAATTGCTTCAGTTACACCCCATTTCTGTGTTATGGAAATTTACTGAGGATGTTGATGTTGAATTATTTTCTGAGAGCGTGTTCCAAAAAATCTCCCTAAGTTTATGAATGCTTTCTGTTCGACTTTGTGAATTTCAATTTGATCCTCCCTCCCTCCCCCTTTCCTTCAATATTGGTTGAGACATAAGGGTAAGTCAGTGACTAGATCCCAGAAAACTGACTGGAGTCACTGATGATACCACAAATTCTGCTCGGCTGAAACTGAAGTAACTTGCTCTTTGACTGCTACAGGATATTTGTGTTTCTCCAGATGAATTTGCTGGTGGAACAACAGCAATCATACTTTCCCAGCAAACTATTTCAGAGTTCCTGGCTGCAGAAACCAAATGTTACTTCTTCTGTTTGTACCATCCCACTGCAGTCATCGGACTCAAGAGCAGCACCTGGAAATACTTCCCTGAGCGAGAGAATCATGATTTGGCTCTGAGTTTGGTTTTCTGTGTGCCTGGAGTCTATCTGTGCACATGTGCATGTACTGATATTATAATGGGATCCAAGAATATGACTAACAGCTGAAAATAGGGCATGTGCAATAAATGATAATAATAACAGTAATAATAATAACTATTTCAGTTTACTTGCACGTTTTTAATTCTGAATTTCAGAAACTAAATTGATACTAATATCTTGGTAAGGTAGTTTTACAGCACATTATTGTGAAATAAACCATGACTTGGGGAAGGCAGTGCTGCTGACATAAGTAACAGTGAAATGCACCTCCTGGAAAGGGAAGAGCTGTGCACTTTCTAACTTCAATTGTAATCTTTGTACAAGCATGACTTTCCTGAAGTGGATTTCACAGTCCTGAAACAGCAGTTTACTTTAACCTAGCAGCTAGAGAAAAAGAAATCACCAGTTTATCTAGAGGTAAGGAGTATTAAAGTTGATATTTTGTTGTGATTTTCCACCTAAAAGTTACATCTGATTTTCAAAATTTGGCAAACATCTTCTCTAGGACAAAGATTATTTTGAAAGGTCTGGAAAAAGCATAGGTTTTTTCTACTATTTTTAATTTGTAAACTACTTGAGTTTGTACAGAGGCAACAGCTACATTTGGCACTAAACTCATGAACTTAACCAGGAATAAAAAAAATCTCCATGATTTTTAAAGCACACAAATCCACGCTCAAGTCTCAAACACAAGCCACAAAGTTCGAAGTTATAAGTCCAACACTGCTAAGCACTCCAAATATGTCCGTGCTGTACTGCACCCCAAAGTGACTCGACACTGTGTGACCCTCTCCCTTCAATAAATAATACCCTCAGAGAAAGCTTTTCAGTGCTTTTGACACTCATATTTTAATGGTGGTTTTTTTTTTTTCAATAGCTCATTTAAGAATCTAAGACATTAAATATTGTCAGAATATTGTCAGAATATTGTCAGAAAGAAAAAAAGATTTTTTAAAATAAATCTGAAAGCAAGAAGATTTCCCACAGCCTGTCCAGAAGTACAGAACACTCTTTGGCTGTCTGTTATCTGTGCTTACTGCATCTTTCTGACGTTCTACGACAATTTTTTTTTACTGTGAGGCATTAATGGCAGACTGATGGTGAGAAGTACAGGAAAAGAAGGAAGAGCGAAGTACACATCAAGCAACTTCTAGATAAAGCTTATGTATTCTGATTACTGGCAGTAAAAAAATCCAAAATCCAAAGACAAAATTTTTAGGAACATTGCTTGTACTGTGGTTCAAGTTTCTTCTTCCTCATCATCATGTTCTTCTTCTTCGTTTAATGACATGTTCATGGCCAGGAAGGAAAAAAAATATTTACAAAGCAGGTGCTTTTAAAGACTTTTACTGAAAATATATCTCGTTTTGTGATTTTGATTATTCTTAACCAAGAAGTCATCTCATCTTTATCTTTGAAACTTTTGCTTTAGTTTACACAATTCTATTCCTGATTTCTCTAGGAGAAAGTTGAATAACATGGAAATAATTGGTTCAGATGTATTCATTTCTCAGGAATTAAAATAAGTACGTACGTCGACTGAATGCAAACTTTAAAGCATGTTTATAACACATATAAATCATCAACAATTTGGTATTTTATAGTGTGGATGAATGGTATAAATATTTTTGAGAAGTAGATGTTTTTCATATTGAAGTCACCACTTGAAAATATGCAGCGACAAAATAAACCTTAGATCAGAGGCAAGCTTGAATAGCTTTGTAATGAGGATGATTTATTTTGATTCTCATTTCTGATTTCTGAGTTGTCACTGCTGTTGTATACTTCATCCATGCAACTTTGCACAACTGGCAGTGCTGAATATAAACCAAAGCCATATGTTTATGTCCTTTTGCCAAACGACTACAGCAAATAGTTCTATTATTCCCTTAGGTAATCAACGTGTGCCAAGTATTTCTATTAGTCTGCTTTACCAAGGCTTTAGAGGGCAGAGTCACAGCTTTATGAAATTAAGGGGCAACTGCTAGCTTTTTAAATTTAGAGAAAAATTATATAGTCTACCATACTGAAATGCAGCTCAACACAAGCTGATGTGAAATCCTACTTTCTTGAGGCTTTTTTTCTTGGATTTTTATTTTTGACATAGTTCAATGTTTTGTTACTATTAGTATATGTATTAAATAGAATTTTTTAGAAGTGTCAATATTCAAAAGGAAAAAAAATGCCTTGATCCTTGAGATCTTATAAAAACACACCAAAGTTTTTAGCCCACCCAACTGATATATAGTACCAAAAAACACCTCAATACCCATTATAAAAAAAAAATCACAAATAAGACATCCCTCTCAGATTAAATCTTAGTATAATGCGTTATGAAATATATTCTCACTCCAGGAGTCATACAGATTCAAAGATGTGTTCCTGTCTGTATGTAACGCTAACAGAGTGTAGTTCTGAAACTTAAAACCTAGAATATCTAAGTATTCATAAAAATTTATACCTTTTTCAATAGTCCAATATTGTTATACCTGACTGTTGAAGACTGCTGTTCTAAAACCAGCAGATGTTATGCAAGCAAAATAACCATAATGCACGAGATACTATGCATGAGACCACATAGTATTCTAGTGCTAATATAGAGGTATATTTTAACTCAAATGAGTTTTCATAAATAAATCATCCCACCTTTGAGTGTTTCCAGGTGAAATTATGTGCAGATTCCAAAGGACCAAATTCTTCACTGAGCCCAAGATGCCTTGCCTGATTCAACAGATAATCCTGAATTTCATTCTCTGGAAAACAAAAAAAAAAAAAAAAAAAAAAAAAAAAAAAACA